TTAAGAATAGGAATAAAAGACAATAGCAAAATCATGGCAAAATCAAAAATAAAAATATATGATAGTAGTGGACTCCTCCAAAGAAAAGTACCATTAGGTGTTTCGAAAAGAGTAAGCATGATCTGCTTAGAGCGCGACATCTGCCACTTCTATCTATGTCAACATCATGAGATACAATGTAGGAAGCTGTACGGCGAAGGTGCGATTGCTTTATGACTATGATTGCTTCTTTCAGACAATTTGCTTTATTCGTAAAAGTAAAGCATGGGACAAGAGGTGATCTTCGGCTGTTTTTTTCCTTCTTCATGTCAGTTGGCAAGGTGCGACCAATCTTTTGAGCCGAAGTTTTCTGAACTCGTAATTTGATCATCCAATTAATAAAATTTTGATTTATATTTTCTGATTGATTTTAAATACTGGTTTCTGATTGTCCTGAATTTTTTGCCAATCAATTTCAGATTTCGATCTGGCAGCTTTTTTCCAGAACTTTTTTGTTTTTCCTAGCCAAGTTTCTGATTGTGGTATTCATCCAAATTTCATCTCTAGGTCTAAAAGTTACAATTGTGTTCGGAATTTTTCTCAGCTCACCTGTAAAATTCAAAGTAGAAATATCAATATCATTCTCATCAACAAGGGTATCCCAGTCAGTGTTCAAAACGGCTTGTCTCAATTTGTCATAGTTTATCCTGTCAAAATCCCATACTTGTCTATGAAATGAATGCAGTCTCTGACAACTGCCAATGCAGAGGACAATGATCACTGCAGAAATTTGATGAAAATCCGAAATGAGGGATAAAGCTTGGAGAATTTTTCAATAAGAGTTTCTGAATTCTCTGTATATCGCAATGGTTTATCTATAATTTGGCCGAAGTTGTAAATAAATGAATTCCATTGTGGCAGATTTGTATGATAGGCATGAATTGATCTGGTTGTATCTCCTGATTTTTACCATTATATTAGTAGCGGGTGTCGTTCTCGAAACAGACAATTCTTACTCTATCGAAACACCTGGTGGTATTTCTCCTGGTGGAGGATTCAGCTACTATACTTTACTCCCGATTTTTTTTCAAATTCTTTGGACGAGATTTTTGATTGACGGAACTGTCATGCTTGTATGGATTTTTATAGTCTCTAAATAGATATATATTGTAAGCTTGGACAAGCACCCTGTCTATACAGTCCAGCTATTTTTCTTTCTGTCAGAGTGTTTCGAGAGTATGTCTAAGTTTAATCCCGAACCCACCATGTCTACATAAAACACCTTGCAACAGCTATGAGCGAGTCTGCGCCTTATTCTAGTTAAGCGACATATCTAGTGATCTGATTTAAAAGTAGAGGTAAAGGTAACTTCCGAAGGCTTGAATTTTCACTCACCAGCTACATGATTAATGGGAGATAACTCTAATCTTCCGAGGCTAATGCATTAATTGTGGACTGGCATTAATTCTCAAAACCTAGACCTAAATCAAATAGTAAAATTAGAGACCGATCCGTACTTTATATAGACACAGCTTTATGGAACAACAATCACTGGTTAAAGTTTTATGCAACGTTTCGCCTTGTCTTCCACACAGATAGGAAAGGACCCCTTCACCCTGACTACTACCGAGTCCTTGATCTCCTTATCGTCGCGAAAATACATTTGCCCCTTTCCTTCTGAAGACTGAGGAACATTTGTGGGTCTCAGCATAACCAGATTATCTTTCTTTCCATAAAAAGTGACAGCTTTGCATGCACCTTAAGCTCTTGATTAAGACAAAAGGACGATTTCTCAAATATTACTGTTTAATTTCCATTTTAAATCATCTTACGAAACTACAAAATGGAGCAGTAGTTACGATAACATTATATTCCATATAAAGAACAAATTCATACACCGTCGAGAAGACGACAAAAATACAAAAGCTATTAAAATGGCCGCAATAATTAATGTTTCATCAAGCTGGCTTCCTTCCGTTGTAATCTGCAACTTAAATCTAAATATAACATCCCTGACATCGAAATAAGCGATCGGGTCAGGAGGGTGATAATAGATAACGCGACAGCATCTAAGGACTTACGTGGTTTTTGAACGAAATTTTGTAAAACCAAAATGGCGATTTCATGAAGCGAATTAAACCAATAGCATTATTCTCTCTCTGGAGTAACTTTCTCCTTCCTTACCTGATAATGATAATGAGTCCATGGCTGCCAAGCGTTGACGTAATCTGCAATTTTCGCGCGGCGAGCCTCTATTTATAGGCGAAGCGCTACCCGTGCTTCCGCGATCAAGACGTGAGGTCGACTATACGGAATGGAAGCGAGCTTGTCCGGATCCTGTCCGGTCGAATATTTCAATGTGATTAACATTTTACAATACTAAAATGTGCATAAAATAAAGCTTTCCTGGAAACGGAAAAGAATTTTAATTTAATGTAGTGCTCAATGTGAAAGAACACAGGAGTAAACGGACGTTTTCAGAGAATTTACATTTATTTTACTTTGCAAAAGCAACATTTAATCTATAATATTTACAATGTATGTACGACAATGTAATTAGGCGTAATAATCTTTAACCGACTGACCTAATGCCCTTCTAACCCTGACCCTAACAACAACCTTCGTAAAGACCCGCGAAATTACTAGCATATATTATGCCTTAAACTGAATCTGGGAATTGTTACATAGAATTGAAAAATAATAATCAAATTAAACGACATTAAAAATGTCCAAGTGAGCGACGACTCAAACAGTATTACTTCATTTGCTGTGTAAACACACAGAATTTCTTCTTAACGACTCTTGAATGTCGGTAATGTGAGGACGATTTTACATAGCTTACTCTAAAACGTTATTGTGCCAAAACTACCGCTGCTAATAATGATAAATCCTGGATGTGACTAAATGACTAAATATGGAAATTTATATGAAATAGTTTTGTTAATGAAAGTTAAATACTTCTTTCCTGAACAACATCGTGACCTTCTTAGTTATTGTTTACTATGTAGTAAAGCTGGACTGAGCCAACAATATAGATGTAATATACTGCTTGTATGCTGGTAATAACCACCTCCACCTACATATTACAATATTACCTTTATCAAAAACCTACACAAACAATATAATATCAATTCCCTCTCAATAATTATAATATACATTTTTATTAATTTATATTACCTTTAACATAAACCTACACCAACAATATCAATGTATACTGCTTGTATGCTGGTAATAACCACCTCCACCTACATATTACAATATTACCTTTATCAAAAACCTACACAAACAATATAATATCAATTCCCTCTCAATAATTATAATAGACAACTTTTATTAATTTATATTACCTCTAACATAAACCTACATCAACAATATAATATCAATTCCTTCTCAATAATTATAATATACAACTTTTATTAATTTATATTACCTTCAATATAAACCTACATCAACAATATAATAACAATTCCCTCACAATAATTATAATATACAACTTTTATTAATTTATATTACCTTTAACATAAACCTACATCAACAATATAATATCAATTCCCTCTCAATAATTATAATATACAACTTTTATTAATTTATATTACCTTCAACATAAACCTACATCAACAATATAATATCAATTCCCTCTCAATGATTATAATATACAACTTTTATTAATTTATATTACCTTTAACATAAACCTACATCAACAATATCATATCAATTCCCTCTCTATGATTATAATATACAACTTTTATTAATTTATATTACCTTCAACATAAACCTACATCAACAATATAATATCAATTCCTTCTCAATAATTATAATATATAACTTATATTATTTATATTACCTTTAACATAAACCTACACCAACAATATAATATCAATTCCCTCTCAATAATTATAATATACAACTTTTATTAATTTATATTACCTTTAACATAAACCTACACTAACAATATAATATCAGTTCCTTCTCAATAATTATAATATATAACTTATATTATTTATATTACCTTTAACATAAACCTACAATAACATTATAATATCAATTCCCTCTCAATAATTATAATATACAACTTTTATTAATTTATCAACAATATAATATCAATTCCGTCTCAATAATTATAATATACAACTTTTATTAATTTATATTACCTTTAACATAAACCTACATCAACAATATAATATCAATTCCCTCTCAATAATTATAATATACAACTTTTATTAATTTATATTACCTTTAACATAAACCTACATCAACAATATAATATCAATTCCCTCTCAATAATTATAATATACAACTTTTATTAATTTATATTACCTTTAACATAATCTACATCAACAATATAATATCAATTCCCTCTCAGTAATTATAATATACAACTTTTATTAATTTATATTACCTTTAACATAAACCTACATCAACAATATAATATCAATTCCCTCTCAGTAATTATAATATACAACTTTTATCAATTTATATTACCTTTAACATAAACCTACATCAACAATATAATATCAATTCCCTCTCAATGATTATAATATACAACTTTTATTAATATATATTACCTTTAACATAAACCTACATCAACAAATAATATCAATTCCCTCTCAATAATTATAATATACAACTTTTATTAATTCTAAAATATAAATTTAGAATTAGTTTCAACCTCTATTACGAGGCGCTCACCAACTTAGGAGATGACCAGAAATTTGCAATAAGGATATAGAATTAGTTTTGACCTCTAATAAGACAAGCGGTTTTGGAGATCTTGATTTGTTTTGAAGTCAAAATAACAATTTTCCGCAATTCTTCGTTACAGCTTGTGAATTAAGGAAAGGCATTTCATAGGTATTTTTTATTTATATAGTTCATCTAATTAGTCTGTTTCAAAGAGATGTCTGAGATATTCACATTATCTAAATTGATTTTAATAATTACCTTCTGAACTAGTTGGCTGAAGTTCTCTTTCAATCGCTCCATCATCGTCCAATGTAGATAACCATCGATTACACACAAACTCATAATGTCGACCTTCAGATGGCAAATCAATAGTAACTGTATCTAAGTACCACCCAGGACCTATCCCTGAGTTGTCATGTCCTATCTTAATTTTTTCAATCTAAAATCAGACAGTCAATAATCTACTAGTAATAGTAAATAATGTATGATATTAACAATGAGTGTTTCCTTGTCAACATTCAAAACAACATCAATCAGCAAGAACTAGAAAGGTTATTATGGTAGAAATTTTAAACATGAATTGTATTTTGTCAAAATATTATATGAACAAAATGAAAAAAAAAATCCATTTTCTTAGAAATCCAAAGATTTCTAGGTGTAAAAATTTGTTTACAACTTAGTAACTAAAATAAATTTAAATCATAGCCAAATAGTTACAGACTTGTCGGATTTCAGAGAAACGTTCAAGTGAGAGGCATTTCTGGGTAACAGTCGGTAATGTATTTTTCTAGCATATTTCAGATATCCTGAATCCGAAAAAACTGTTCCAAAACCAAATTCTGGATCCTTTACCTCCTAACTTAGGCTGCTATAAGATTTAGTTTTAATACTTTTTATATTAAACATTATGCTCTGGAAATGTTTTTCGTTTCCAATATTAACTACAATCTGTCAAAATCTCCTATGGAAAGTTAAAATTAGCACCCAAATTTACCAACATTGGGTCAAATATTGGACCTTTACGATAAACACACTATACACTAAGAAAGACAAGGTCAAGATAAGATAGAAGAAAAACCCTGCTGCAAATTTTGTAGAACATACTTTATGTTCAGTCTTTATTTCTATGGTTATCTAATTTCCTTACCTGACCAATGACCGGAGCTGTAAGTATGAAAGTATCAGTGTAGTTTCGTTGAAACGGATCAGAATGATCAAGAGATTGGTCTAGTTGTAAAGGGCCTGTGTCTCCACGAGTACCATAAATTATCAGAGTAATATTTGCAGCTGTTTCTGCTGCAGGTTCATCTCCTGTTTTTACTTCTACTCGATACAAGATATCTGAAAAATCAGATATTACACCCTATCTTATACAATGGCCCACTTTTTCTTGTTTTGTGAAAGTAGCAATCTTCTACGATCATATAAACAGAATCTTTATTCACTTGTTTATATCCTTTATATATTACATCACGACTCCGCTTTGATCTCTGGCATTTGCACTAACCCAATAGCGACAACAAGAACTGCGTAAACTCTCTGGTTTACATGAAAGAGGTTGCTGCAGACGTGGGACCTGAAAGGACACTTCCTGTCTTATGATGCTTGTAACATTGATCAGCTTTATACATCCTCTGAGCATCAGTCTAATACAATTTAAAAAGTCGTTTGCACTATTATCATTATTAATAAATAAACCAAGTACTAACGATCTGAACCGCAAAACTAAACCCGAAATACGTCGTAAATTATACACGAAAAGATCTCTAAAATTTTATTTGTGCTTCTATGTATCCAGCCTATTTCATCAACCTGATTTAACTTTCAACGTGGTGATTAAAATAGTGACTGTACTTCGCCTATGAACACGAAACAGTTCTAGTTTCAGCACCTCTGTTGAAGATTAGGATACGTGTTCAGTAACAGTGTTCTACTAATGCTAGATGAAGTTATGGAGAAAGGTAGAACGGTGTAAATAGTTTTTAATATCAAACTTTACCTTCGGGTAAAAACGTAACCATACCAACATCTACTATTGGTGAATGTGGAAACTGATGATAAACATAGCATATCTGACGCCCTTTATGATACGCAACACCAAAACATACGTTGTCATCATAACAAGATTGTACACATCGTAACCGTTCGGGTTCAACTCTATTATCATAATATCCTGAAAACAGTTGGTCATTTGAGAAAGAGATATAAGTTTTAGTGATTATCTCAAAAGAATCACCAATTACAAATATAAACATACACCTCAACAATATCGACAACATTTTCCTCGGTTTGACTTGACGATACGAAACAATTGGATCTGAAGATAATGACAAGACTTCAATTTTTATGCGTTTAAAGATGGGTCTCCTTGTTTTTTAGTGTCAAATTAAGCAAACTATTTGATTATTGGTGTTTCTAATGAATAATCATGTATTCTTAATCATATCATTATGTTTTTTAACATATAATTAAGAGTTTTAACCAATCAAAAATGCCCATGCATGTACAGTCTGAATAAACAAAAAAATAAGTGTTTTTAGATCGGACATTCATTGGAACCCTGCTGGTAATTCTCATTTAATTTAGCTAAATATGAATTAATTATGGACATTTTTTTACAATTTATTAGAACACCTCTACGTTTTATTCATATAAGTATTAACATTTTCATTTTAAGAGAACCCATCTTTAAAAGAAACACGCCGAGTTTCAATACTGCTCAAATGCTGATTATGCATTAATTATAGAAATATTTTAAAGTAGTCGGTTTTAGATATAAGTACATAATATTGATTGTTGTTTTAACTGACTTCAAGTGTTTGAAAATTGGTAAGAAAATATTCGATGAACACAAAACCACCAAACCAAACAAGCAAAGTGTCAAGGTCTAACGTTCAACCCATGGAGACAATACAATGAATGATATGAAGACAAGAAAATGACTAAAGTATTTCAGTAGGAAGTCAGAAAATGAAAACTTTTTTATAAAATATACAGATTACATTTTTTACATTCTTTGTTGTGCTTTCAGTGTAGTCATATTAACTTGTCTCATATGCTTTGTATAACAAATTACCCTGTTCTTATCGACAATAGACTGATACAACGATAGGCTGAATTAGCAATTTACTGAACAAGTCAATTAATTTGTTTTCTTTAATTTTCTCATGTCGCCTTTTTTTGGTGGGTAAAAGATCTTATACAAATATTACATGTATATATTTTCCAGATGGCCTCGAATACATTATTGCAGTTTTTGCAATAATTCGAATATTCAAAACGGAGTAAAAAGGGAGAAAAGGTGTATTAATAAAGGACATGTTCAATCCGTAAAATCTATAAATTATGTTGCATATGGCACGTTCTTCCCCGATTAAGTTTAACCGGCGTAGGGTCTTTAAATCTGTAATCAGATCGACCTGTTCGTTGTGTCAGGTTAGAACTGGTCGGAATAATATACAGGGCTAAAATAAATATATCGTGAGTACTCAAGAGTAACTAACTAACTACTGCCGTGAATTGTGATCCTTTGCCAAGTCATCACCGGCTTATAGATATTCTGTTGTTAGCTGCTGTGTATCGATATCAGAACATAGATAGCCTGTTGTTAGCTGCTGTGTATCGATATCAGAACATAGATAGCCTGTTGTTAGCTGCTGTATATCGATATCAGAACATAGATAGCCTGTTGTTAGCTGCTGTGTATCGATATCAGAACATAGATAGCCTGTTGTTAGCTGCTGTGTATCGATATCAGAACATAGATAGCCTGTTGTTAGCTGCTGTGTATCGATATCAGAACATAGATAGCCTGTTGTTAGCTGCTGTATATCGATATCAGAACATAGATAGCCTGTTGTTAGCTGCTGTGTATCGATATCAGAACATAGATAGCCTGTTGTTAGCTGCTATGTATCGAGACGAGAACATAGATAGCCTGTTGTTAGCTGGTATGTATCATTATGAGAACATAGATAGCCTGTTGTTAGCTGCTATGTATCGAGGCGAGAACATAGATAGCCTGTTGTTAGCTGCTGTATATCGATATCAGAACACAGATAGCCTGTTGTTAGATGTTGTGTATCGATATCAGAACATAGATAGTCTGTTGTTAGCTGCTGTGTATCGATATCAGAACATATATAGCCTGGTGTTAGCTGCTGTATATCGATATCAGAACATAGATATTCTGTTGTTAGCTGCTGTGTATCGATATCAGAACATAGATAGTCTGTTGTTAGCTGCTGTGTATCGATATCAGAACATAGATAGTCTGTTGTTAGCTGCTGTGTATCGATATCAGAACATAGATAGTCTGTTGTTAGTCGCTATGTATCGAGACCAGGACATAGATAGTCTGTTGTTAGTTGCTATTTATCAAGTCGAGAACATAGATAGTCTGTTGTTAGCTGCTATATATCGAGACGAAAACATTGGTAGTCTGTTGTTAGCTGCTATGTGTCTAGACTAGAACATAGATAGTCTGTTGTTATCTGCTATGTATCGAGACGAGGACATAGATAGTCTGTTGTTAGCTGCTATGTATCGAGGCGAGAACATAGATAGCCTGTTGTTAGCTACTATATATCGAGACTAGAACATAGATAGCCAGTTGTTAGTTGCTATGTATCGATACGAGCACATTGATAGCCTGTTGTTAGTTGGTATGTATCGAGACGAGAACATAGATAGCCTGTTGTTAGCTGGTATGTATCGAGACAAAAACATAGAGGGTTTGTTGTTAGCTGCTATATATCGAGACAAGAACATTGATAGCCTGTTGTTAGCTGGTATGTATCGATACGAGAACATAGATAGCCTGTTGTCAGCTGCTATGTATCGAGACGAGAACATAGATAGCCCGTTGTTGGCTGGTATGTATCGATACGAGAACATAGATAGCCTGTTGTCAGGTTAGAACTGGTCGGAATAATATACAGAGCTAAAATAAATATATCGTGAGTACTCAAGAGTAACTAACTAACTACTGCCGTGAATTGTGATGCTTTGTCAAGTCATCACCGGCTTATAGATAGCCTGTTGTTAGCTGCTGTATATCGATATCAGAACATAGATAGCCTGTTGTTAGCTGCTGTGTATCGATATCAGAACATAGATAGTCTGTTGTTAGCTGCTGTGTATCGATATCAGAACATAGATAGTCTGTTCTTAGCTGCTGTATATCGATATCAGACATAGATAGCCTGTTGTTAGCTGCTATGTATCGAGACCAGGACATAGATAGTCTGTTGTTAGTTGCTATTTATCAAGTCGAGAACATAGATAGTCTGTTGTTAGCTGCTATATATCGAGACGAGAACATAGATAGCCTGTTGTTAGCTGCTATTTATCGAGACGAGAACATAGATAGCCTGTTGTTAGATGGTATGTATCGAGACAAAAACATAGAGGGTTTCTTGTTAGCTGCTATGTATCGAGACGAGAACATAGATAGCCTGTTGTTAGCTGGTATGTATCGAGGGGAACATAGATAGTATGTTGTTAGCTGGTATGTATCGAGATGAGAACATAGATAGCCTGTTGTTAGCTGGTATGTATCGATACGAGAACATAGATAGCCTGTTCTTAGCTGCTATGTATCGAGACGAGAACATAGATAGCCTGTTGTTAGCTGCTATGTATCGAGACAAAAACATAGAGGGTTTGTTGTTAGCTGGTATGTATCGAGTCGAGAACATAGATAGCCTGTTTTTAGCTGGTATGTATCGATACGAGAACATAGATAGCCTGTTTTTAGCTGGTATGTATCGATACGAGAACATAGATAGTCTGTTGTTAGCTAGAAAGGAAGTTATTTTCTTATTCAATTCATCTTGTATAAAATTAATTATTAATGTGAAGCTCAAAACTCATTGCCTTTTTAAAGAAGTAGCTATCAGGTTAACTTGAAAATTGACAAAATTTTCTTTGTTTTCAATGAAGAAGAAATAAAGAAAGTGAAAGAACCAGATATTGATGAAGGTCTACACTAATGCAAACAAAATATTACTATACTTATGACATAATGAAATAAGTAATATGTTTTGGAGGCTTTTAACATAAAATCAATATGATGTTTCTGAGGCTTATGTCATAAAAATCCTTTTTAACATTACAGCATCTTGATTTCTTTTTGTTATATTTCAGGAGGAAATTGAAAGAAATTACAATGTTTAGCTTGTGAGTTACATCTGAACTATTTCCACCTTTAATCCGTGAGACATTTTCGACACTAACACTGAATATTGATTTAATTTTTCTTACATGAATTAATTTCATAGTGATGAATAAGCTTATATTATGTAACTGTGCTTTTTACTTTTCTAAAAAAATCAAATGAA